CAATAAACTATGCGAGCTTAAAGCACGGATTTCCTATCAGAGAGATATGAGAGATTGTAATGTAATCTGTTTTACTGAGACTTGGCTAACGGGGGTGGTACTTGATACGGCTATACAGCCTGCAGGGTTTTCCGTACATCGCGTGGACATGAAAACATAAAGGCGGAGGAATATGTTTCATGATCAACAACTCATGGTGTGATTGTAGGAATGTACAAACACTTAAGACTGTTCCATGGAATACCTCACAATCAAATGCCAACCCCATTGTCTCACAAGATTATTCACAGCTATTTGTATCATGGCTGTGTACATCCCCCACAAGCCGACACCACACTCAAGGAATTACACAGGACTTTGAACAAATCGGAAACAGCATATCCCGAGGCCGTATTTGTTGTAGCAGGGGACTTTAACAAAATACATCTAAGGAAAGTTATTCCGAAATTCCACCAACACCTCTCTTGCCTCACTCGTGGGAAAATTATGTTGGAACATCGTTGTTCTCCATTCTGAGATGGATGCAAAGCCCTCTTTCTCCCTGAGAGAGCAGACTGACTCATTAAACTATGGTTGGATTTCTGGGGAAATGGATGAATAGAAAAAGACCAGCTATGACCTCTGGAAATTCATCAAGGACAAGAAAAGACAGTACAGGAACAAAGTGGAATCGCATTTTGACTGCTCCGACGCGAGATGCATGTGGCAAGGACTACAAACCATCATAGACTACAAGGGGAAAACTAGCGGTGCGGCGAACACAGACGACTGTCTCCCAGATGAGCTAAACAACTTCTATGCTCGTTTCGAGGCAATCAACACTGATCCTCCTACAAGGGTCCCTGTTGCTGTAGAGGACTGTGAGCTCTCAATCTCTATGGCCGACATGAGTAGGACCTTTAAGCGTGTGAATACTCACAACGTAGCCAGCCCAGATGTCATCCCCTGCCGCATCCTCAGACCAGCTGGCTTGTGTGTTCGCGGACATATTGAACCTCTCCCTGTCCCAATCTGTGATCCCCACATGCTTCAAGATGTCCTCATTGTTCTTGTACCCAAGCAAATGACGGTAGCCTGCCTAAATAACTATCGCCCTGTAGCACTCACTTCTGTCATCATGAACTGCTTCAAGAGGCTGGTCAAAGACCACATCAGCTCCACTTTACCTGACACCCTGCACCCACTCAAATTTGCATACAGCCCCTACAGCCCCACAGATGACGCAACCCCTCAAGAGGTTGAAAAAGTTTGACATGGGCCCTCAAATCCTAAAAAGGTTCTACAGCTGTACTATTGAGAGCATATTGACTGGCTGCATCACCGCTTGGTATGGCAATAGCACCGCCCTCGATCGCATGGCACTACAGAGGGTTGTGAGGAGAGCCCAGTACATCACTGGGGATGAGCTCCCTGCCATCCAGGACCTCTATATGAGGCGTTGTGAAAAGAAGGGCCGGAAAATCAAAGACTCCAACCACCCAAGCCATAGCCTATTTTCGCTGCTGCTGCACGCAAGAGGTACCGGTGCATCAAGTCTGACACCAACAGGCTCTTGAACAACTTCTATCCCCAACCAATATGACTGATAAATAGCTAAACCGCCCGAGTTATCCTTGCATCTTTAACCTTTTATTTCAGTATTTGCACTCTCTATGCACACCCACACTGTCACTCCAACACACACACGTCATTTAGCAGACGCTCTTATCCAGAGCGACTTACAGGAGCAATTAGGGTTAGGTGCCTTGCTCAAGGGCACAGACAGATTTTTCACCTAGGCTGCTCGGGGATTAGAACCAGCGACCTTTCGGTTACTGGCACAACGCTCTTAACCACTAAGCTACCTGCCGCGGTAGCTTAGTCCTATAGACACAAACACTCACACATGATATGCACAGACATTTATACTGACTCTACATGCCCGCACACTCACATGCAAGCTGCTGCTACTCTGTTAATCATATATCCTGTTGCCTATTCAGCCTAACGTTTATAACACCCTTCAATATTCTATATGTGCATATACTGTTTTTGTATTTTGGTTGCTAAACCATATCGTTTGAAGTGACTGAGCATTTGGGAATTGTTTTTAAAGCATCCTGATGTAGGCCCTACCACTCCCATTGTTTCACAATCAGCGATGCTAATGCTGGCTGTGGGGTAAGTAAAGAGAACTAAGACATGTCTGGTCAGTCTCAGGATGAAACACTAAGTCCCAGAAAAGTATATTTTAGTGTACTGCCCCTTTAAATGGCAGTCATTCTTACCACATGACAAAATGAATACTTTCAAAATTAAGGTAAATCAGCTTTAATGTGTACTGTACTAAAAATGCAGATTTATATTTTCATTTCACAAACATATGGCCTACTGTATAAAATAGGTAGTCTCTGAAAAGCGATACTGCAGCTTCCAATACTTGAGTCTGACCTGTGACTATCATGGCCAAAGGTAGCCATCCCAAATTGTAATCAGAACCACAACGCTGCCAGCACTATACTTCATTAGCTCCTACTTGTGAATGAAAAATTCAGATGCGCTTCCCTGAAGGTCTCTGGCTACAGCAAGGTGACATTATCAATGGAAAAAAGTTACTGTACAAGCATGGAAAACATGCACGTCGACTTTTAGATTAGGAAAGTAGGCAGGCTAGTGAAAAGGCTGCGTTCACTTCCCCCCGCCAACTGGTATTTTGACCAGTCATAGATTTTCAGAGCTGATCTGTCAAAAATACCAATTAGTGAAAAATAAAAAGCCTAAGTAACAGCCTTTCATTACTTAACACCATGATTTCAATAAAAACAAAAAGGTGGCATCTTGATTGGATTAGAAAGCAGATCTAAGTCACATTACAATAAAGATGACTCAAGTGGGCAAGATATAACATTTATTTCAATAAACCAAGTCAAATGTCCACATCTCGTCAGTATGTTCAAGCAGCATAGATTTCTCCCACTCGTCACCCTGGTAGATTACAGTCAGACCTGGAAAACAGAGGTAGGTGTGAAAGTTAAATGCACCTATTGAAGCAAGTGCATTTCAAATCTGGGAACAATAGTTAAGCAAGACCAGTGGCAACCAGTCATTCAGGGCAGAGCCCCACATTTTTTTGGGCTTGCCCATTTGGCAATAATGTCACGTTTCAGTTTGCAAGTATTTGAGTTAAGCAAGCAAAAAAGCAGCTTTATTAAGGCAGCTCCAAAATTCAGGTGTTTCAGCCTAGCTCAGTGCTTTGTGGTGGGGCAGCCAGCGGAAAATACAGAGCATAGATGTTGGTAATATGCTCTAGTTGTGCCGTGATTGGCTGTGTTCTGTCACTCATTGGGACACCAAGTCCGAGGGTAGATCTCAAATTCAAGCCCCTTGGGTGCTGCCATAGAGTTACATTAGAAATGCCCATCCGAGGAGGCTCAAGGTCATTGGCCACAGAAAATGACATTATAGCTACAGTAGACTTGATTGAACTCATGTCAACATACTTTCAAAATCTTAGCTAGCAGTCATCATGAATCAAGACGACAATCTGGCAAAACCTTGTCATATAAAGAGAAATTATAGATAAAACGTATCGGTGTGCATCGGCCAAACATCACAAGTTGGAAATTCAACAATGAGTGGCTAACTGCAAGCAATCACTAGCCTGCTATTCAGTGGACTGGCTGTGTGGTCCCAAGTCTGGGATTAAGGGTCTCTTTTCCAAGTTTAAAGTGATACATTCAACATTGGCCATGCAGTCAATGAAGCATGATTTGTGCCATGCGCAAAACTGTTAACTTGACTTCGCAGTGCTGAGTTAACTGGGAACTCAGGAAAAACACGTTTTGAAAGATCTAACGCAGAGTTGTAAATCCGGAACTCGGGCCCCTTTCTAGAGCTACGACCTGAAGATCACTGACGTGATTCAACCTTTTATTTTTTAAGTGTTCCCAGTTGTCTTGAAAGCACCATATATCCAGAGAATGCCAGACCTTGATGACAAAGTTTGCCCACGAAGGACCACCGTGCCACCTTCCTGTTCAAGTGAGCACTGCACAACAAGGAGTCCAAAATTGTATTGTATGCTGCTGGATAAATGTTATATGCATACTGTAGCTAAGAAAGTAATACTAAGTGTATGTTGTGTTAGTGCCTCACCCTAATAGTTGGGTCTATTTTCCACCCTCTTAATTTCACCTACTGTTCTGACTTGGTGGTGCACATGTAGCCTATAACCTGTTTTAGAGAAAGGTAATCGTCAAATATTGTAAGAGCTTTCATTGTCTGCGTATATGCACCCTTTATTTATCCTACGGTTCTGACTTGGTGTACACTAACAGCCCATGTTCTGAATTCTGTTACTGTACATTCCAAAAGTGCTGAACAAAGTTATGACTACAGTCCTAGCTCGCTCATTAATGTCTTAATCAAAATTACGGATTGCCTCTTATGCCATAGTTTGTACATCTCAATTGTCAGTAGAAACTACATGTTTAAGCAAGTCAGCCATGTTATTTTTTTTTTGGGGGGGGGGGGGGGGGGCAGTAAATGAGACTGAATGAACAGCTGCCAGACAAGGCGCCACTGATAGCCAGGCGTAGCAGTGGTAAGATGTTGGGACAGCTTTATGTAGGCCCTAACAGTTTGTGGGCACCGTTATAGTGCAATTAATGTGTTGTGGTGTCACTGGCTTACATCCCACATTTGTTTTTTCCCCCCACCAAGACTAAAATAGTAACGCCACTGGGCAAGACTCACCTTTCATTTAAAGCAGCGCTCTTCTCAGTTTTTTTATGTGGGCCACATTGTGGTTGAGCACATGTAGTAGATCTGATGGGGAGGAATAAAGTGAGATTAAATACTAAACTTAACTTATTACCTTGCAGTTAAAAAAAAGGGACAAATTGTATAAAAATGTTAGCCAACTGTAGTAATATGATTTTTTTTTTTAAGCATCAGTCTCCATGTGACAATACACCAATCCAGGGATTCAAGAGGCAAATCCCCAGTCTTCTTCCTCACCGCCTAATTCCATCAAAGCAGCGCTCTTCACAGGTTTTTTCTGTAGGCATACACACTTCAGTAGAGCACATGAAGTAGATCTGGTGGGGAGGAATGAAGTGGGACTCAATACCAACTAAGCTTGTTGCGACAGACTTTGTGCAGCTCACAAATAAAAAGCCTAATTTGCCATGTGACATACACCAATGCAGGGAATCAAGATGCAAATCCCAGTCCCAATTCTGCTTCCTCACCTCCTCATCCAGATACTTGTTGGTGTGTTGATCCATGAACTGGAATGCTTGGACCATGAAGCGACGCTGGTGGCGCTTCTGTGGCAGGTTGCTGAATTTAAGGATGGAGATTCTGGGGTCCTGAGGGTTGGCGCACCTAGAGGGGAGAAATTGAGCAAGAGAACTCAATGACAACTAAATCTTCACAGTGTAAGGCCCTCAAACTAAACTCTGGATCTCAGCCCCCCCCCCCCTAGTTCCACTAATCAGGCATTGATTTAGACCTGGGACACCAGGTGGGTGTAATTAATTCTCAGGTAGAACAGAAAACTAGAAGGCTCTGGACCTCGTAGGGTAAGAGTTGAATACCCTTGGTATAAGGAGTTCTGGCCTAAATGTCGGTCATGCTTTGGCTAGGGAAAGGGCGACACATTGGATGGGGCAAAGTTTCTTCCACACCATAATTCAAGGGATACTTCAGGATTTTGGCAATGAGGCCCTTTATCTACTTCCGAGTCAGATGAACTTGGATACCATTTGTCTGCCTATGTGTCCAGTAGTGTCATGAGCCAATGCTAGCAGATACCTATAGACTTCATCACTGTGCTAAAGCTAGTTAGCAATTTCCTTCAAACTGCATTCACAGACAAAGTATCCACAAGTTAATCTGACTCTGGGTAAATAGATAAAGGGCCTTAATGCCAAAATCAAGGGAACATTAGAGAGTCCAGCCAAGCCAGAGTTTCAGCCTCTATAGTAACATGCAATGGTGCTTCAAGAGCAAGGTAGCCCACCAATACACAATCTGCAGTACAACATTAGGCAAATTAGTCACACACCAAGTCATTGCAGTGCTTACCCTTCGTGAACGAGCACCAGAACATTCTTGGCAGAGCGGGGGTAAGCTAGACAGTAGTTGACCAAGAGTGTTGCCTCTGGCTTTGGAGAAGTCAGACGTACTTCTAGATACACAAGTTTGCCCAGGAGGAGACGGAGGGGCTGATGGTGCTGCTTGTAGTACTTGGCATAGGTTTTGTCTGGTGGGGGTAAAATAGCAAGTCAGGGGGTTGGGTTTTTGTCTTCATACACCAAATTCAGCAATGATTAATGTCAGCATGGGACAGTTGACCATTATGTTCCAGCAATTGAGTGTTTGCATGTTAACAGCCAGATACCTTCAGCAATCCTGAGTTGGACGCCAAACAGCCCCTTGGATGTCACCTTTGAAGGGAATCTGAAACTGGGGCTTTTCACCATGTAGCCCACACTCGCCACTGCTGGCAGGGTACCCAGAGCTTTAGAGTAGCGGCACTCAACCATGATTCTAGAGACAGACATGTGGTACTAGTCAATCTCAGCAGGTGCATTTAATGACTCCTCAATTAGAGAGATTAAATTACTTTCTCAAAGTGCCAAGAACATGTCATTTTCCAACACCAATATTTGAAGTTAAGATCTTAAGTTAAGTAACTCAGTGTATTAATGGACTGGTGAATCAGCTCAATATATAGGAATATTAGGACAGAGGCATGTAGCAAAGATAGAAATGTAGATCTTAAAAAAGGTGTAGACATTGAGTCTAACAACCCTGGGATGTGGAGATGTTCATTAAAGTCCAAACTGAAGACAGACTAACTGGACTCGCCCAATAAGCAATGCCCATTTACCTGAGGGGGTTGTCTCTGGAGATTATGCCATATTTCAGGTTAAGGGATCGGACGACCGTCTGTACCTCTGCTGTGTAGATCACAGTCTCACCAATTTCCTAATGAAGAGCAAAACAATGAATGTAATTGTCGGGATCCACACTAGGAGGGCATAATATGATTGTACACTTACATAAAAGTGAGTTCCACATTCAGTGACTGAGAATTTGAAGACCACAAACTTGTCATTGACAATGACTGGGCCACAGCTAGACTTCCCAGCAACTACAAGTTTGGTGGGATCCACAGGGAAAGTGGTGATGTCATGGTGAACGGCAAAGACAAACTGTTTGTCTGCAGTGCATTCTGGGAAGGGAGAGCAATACACATCAGTCCTCACTATTCAAAATCAAACATAATCTTGCTGTGTGAAATGGGAGTATTTACCATCCATTGGGTAGAAGCAGGTGGAAGTGGCCAAATCCACACAGCAACCCATCACCAAACACTGGGAGGACGAGATTCCAGTGGAACCACAAGCCACGTGCTGGTTCTGGGGAATACTGCAGCCTGAAATACAAAAACCGTTGTAAGTGGCATTTCCTGAGGATCAGTAGCCACCTAATTATACTGAATAAAAATATAAAACACATCATGTAAAGTGTTGGTCCAATGTTTCATGAGCAGAAGATCCCAGAAATTTTATATTTGTACAAAAAGCTAATTTCTCTCAAATGTTATGCACAAATTTGTTTACATCCCTGTTACTTAGCATTTCTCCTTTGCCGATATACTCCATCCAACTGTCAGGTGTGGCATATCAAGAAGCTGATTAAACAGGTGCACCTTGTGCTGGGTACAATAAAAGGCCACAAAAAATGTACTGTTGTCACAACACAATGCCACAGATGTCTCAAGTCAAGGGAGCCTGTAATTGGCATGCTGACTGCAGGAATGGTCACCATAGTTGTTCCCAAAGAATGTAATGTTAATTTCTCTACCATGAGCCACCATCGTTTTAGGCAGTATGTCCAACCTGCCTCACAACCACAGACCAGGTGTAACCGCACCAGCCTAGGACCTCCACATCCGGCTTCATCACCTGCGGGATCATCTGAGACCAGCCACCCGGATAGCAGATGAAACTGAGGAGTATTTGTCTGTAATAAAGCGCTTGTGGGGAAAACCTCATTCTGATTGGCTGGGCCTGGCTCCCCAGTGGATGGGCCTATGCCCTCCCATGACTGCACCCCTGCCCAGTCATGTGCAATCCATAGATTAGGACCTAATGAATCAATTTCAAGTGACTGATTTCCTTATATGAACTGTAACTCAGTAAAATTGCTGCGTTTATATTGGTTCAGTAATAGCTGTAAAGACTCAAATGACCAGAAGTCCATCTGAGGCACTGGAGTAGATGTTCTCACAATTTGGAAAATATAAGTTTCAATAGAGCCTCTGAACTGGTCAGAATGACCAGGGCCCCGTTTCAAAGACTCAAATGAAGGCTAAGTTAATCGTTAGAACCGTCGTAGGAGCATTGTTAAATCGGAGCAGTTGCACAAAACCATCACTAAAGTTACTTGAAAATGATAATTTACTGACTGCCTCAGACCACTAGAACAGCTAAGTGTTAGATGCGTTTGCCCTTCCACAGCACACAATCTCCTAAAACATAAAAATCAAGCAGTTTAAAAAAATGTTTGTGACCTTGTCTTTGCAATTGTTACAAACAAGCAAAGTATAAAAGCCAACTTCAAATGAACGGGGTGACTGCATAAAAAAAAAAAGTGGGCTATATTCCAATCATATCAACTTCAAGTTGGTCAATCGAATTCCATTTTGCTGATTGTATGCTAGAGTCATGTAATATGTGCCAAATCTGATTTAGAGCAATATAGGGTAAGCCACCTCAATATTTGCAGCCATGAAGGTGATAATTTCTAGGAGCTGATTAGTCGTCAGTATACATCAACTTCAGATTTGAATGGAGAAAGCGGAGCAGCGCTCCCTTTCAATCCTATCCGTATTGACATATGCTCCAATGATGCACTTAGCTACTGTGGTATCTAAGGAATTTATGACTTTGTTAACGTTGGCAAATGGTAGCTTAGAGGATGTTGATTCAGCTTAGGGAAGCATCTGGGGAGCAGTTTTAGAGGGGCACCCTAAAGCAGAGGAAGTCTGTTAGGTGGCCTCCTGGGAGTGGTCTGTAGGGGAAAACACCCATATCAGATTACATAGGATATATACTATGGTTTGGGACAAAGGACGGGGAGAATAGCACATTTAGAATTTGGGTCGTCTGTTCTCCGGATGTCTGCAGATATCTGTAAATTGAAGCTGTAACCCTTTGATATAAATAAACCTTTATAATCAAAGTACAGTGTATGCGGACTCCTTGTTCTCCACAGCATAATTAGCAGAATGTTAGCAGACAACACTACCATTCTCTCTGCGTTGGGGGAAACGCATGTTACATCGTCGGCAGTTGTAGGAAAGATCCATCATTAAAACACTCAAGCCTAAATGCCACTGATAAAGAACCGGGCCAAGGCATGGTCAGTTCTTGCAGCTCGATGGTGAGGAAACTAGGAGATCATGGATCATTTTAGACACTTGAAGAGCCCAATTTCCCAGATGGAATTTAGGTTTAGGAGTGTTAACATCTTTCCTACAATGGACGAAGATGTAACATGAGTTTCCCGAAAACACGTTAGCTAAGTGAGTCATCGGAGCATGTGTCGATACTGATAGGATCGAAAGGAAGGGAGCGTTGCGCTCGGATCAGCTTCTAGATACATTACCGCCTACGGATGCAGATATTGTGACTTATTCTAATGCTTATCCCCCCCAAAAAATATAATAAACATTTGTCATATCATTGAACACATTAGGCTACACACCATGAAAAAGACAGTAGCTAAACTAAGATTATTGAAAATTAAATGCATTTCAATATGAATAGCTTACAATTTATATTTTAATGCAGTCCTTGATTCACTTGCAAAGACATAAGCAAGTTTGTTCTAAAGTTATCTGCAGTCACAAAGAAACAAACCATGTGATTGTGTATAAAGTGATGCAGGACGGCAAATAAAGCATCTAAAGACGCACTTAACTATTCTAGTGGTCTGGGGTAGGCATTAAATTATCAGCGTTTAAGTGCAACCATAATAACGATGTTTTGGGAAACAGCTCAGAGATTTAACACGCCTCCTACGAAAGTTCTAACAATGAACATAACCTTAAGATGCTTTTGGGAAACTAGGCCCAGAACATTGCATGAGACTCACCAGGAGACGTGGGGGGATCTTGAGGGGTGGCAATAAAACACTTTGAAGAAGGAGGCCCAGCACGGGCATTGGGAAGACCAGAGAGGGGCAGGTTTACGGTCGAGGACACGGGGCTAGACGCACAGGACACTGTAGAAACATCCATTATGCCAGCTTCATTGACAAACAACACCATCAAGGTGTACCACCCAGCCTGCAGAGAGTCAGTGTGGCAAGAAATGTGCAACAGTCACTCCAATGGCACATTTACAAAATTAAAGTGTATCATTTCAAAGTGGAAAGAGGGCAAAGACCTTACCTGAAGACTGACAAGGCAGCCTGAAAAGCGGACAGTTAAGGTGTTCTGGTATTGTCCTCGACTTAATGAGTATCCACAGGATTCTGGGGCTTCAAGAACAGGGAGCATACTGTTGGAGCCTGTAGGGAAAGTTGAGCATGAGCAAAGTACCCAAACTGCATTTGATAATTCTATAAGCCTATAAATAAAATAACTCACCCAAAATTTTGACTTCACTCATTGGACCAGCTGGCAGTGTGACTTCAAACTGATCCACACTGCACAGAACTGCTACACTGACTGGGGCTGCGTTGGTAACGGAGACCCACTTTTTTGCATCTGGCACCTCCTCAAATTGCACCTGGAATTCACGGTCAGCTTTAGAATCAAAATTGGCGGGGTCTCCAAGTTGTACTACAGCTCTGTCTTCGGTATAATCATCCTCTGTGTCAAGGTTGTGGTGGGAAAAGGTTGCCTCTTCTGAAACCCGCTCCAATCCCGCTGCAGGCAATGCAAAGCAAGGCCAAGCCAGGAACAAAAGCAGTGTGTTCCTTTGCCAAGCCATTTTCATACAATGCCTCACTGAATACTAAAGACGGTATGACAGTCGATGTTTCTCCTAGGTATATATAGGAAGTATTTGCAATTGGATGCAGCTTTCTAACAATTGGAACGACATTACTCTGTATCAGAATATACATTCTCACGAGGTAAATGGTAACATCTGGAGGTAATAATCTATTACGCGCCACTATGTTTGCGTTTACACAGGCAGCCCAATTCTGATATTTTTTTCCACTGATCACATTAGATCTTCTCAAATCCGATCTTTTCAGAGCTGATCTGATTGGTCAAAAGACCAATTAGTGAAAAAAAGATCAGAATTGGGCTGCATTTCTAAACACAGCCTATGATTGGATGTTGTCTAGGGATATGCCAAGGCTGCCCAACCCTATTCCTGGAGATCAACCATCCTGTGGGTTTTCAATCCAACCCTAATTTAACACACCTGATTCTACTTATTAGCTGCTCAACAAGACCTTAACTAGCTGAATCAGATACGATAAATTAGGATTGGACTGAAAACCTACAGGACAGTAGATCTCCAGGAAGAGGGCTGGGCAGCCCTTGGCTAGGCTATCACGTCAGGGTCCAGTTCGAATATTAGGTTTGAGTGCTTTAAAGCTGCATTCTTTCTCCCTCCCTTGAATAGTAATAATAAACGATGATCCTAACTTGATTAGACAGGTGAATGCAAATGATAGTTCCACCACAAAGCTTTTAATGTCCAGTATTGTCAAATCGGGGATTACTGACAGGGAGCAAGAAGGAAATGGGACACGTTTAAAGTATTCCAACAGTGCCCTGGGCTCAGCTCAAATATATGTTATGTCCTTCCTTTCTGTTTTAAAACAATTATACACAATCCATTTTAATTAGGTGTAAATTGGTTGGTGATGTGACAGTCCTTTAAAAAAAATGTTGTACTTGTGTATACATTTTGTATGCGTTTGATACAGATAGATTTGGTGTCTTCAAACTTTTTGAAGCTGTAGGTTTAACAGATTAATGCAATTATGTAAATGCAATAGCGGTTTCCTTGCCTGACGACTCAAACTGAATTATTCTGCTGCTCTATGTTCCCTACATACGTTTGTGGTGACGTCAAAAAGAGGGGTGATGTACAAAACTAAGTAATCAGCGTATTAAAGCCAATAACACATTTTCAAAACATCGATTTACCCCATCGGTTTCTGGGACCAATCAGAACGGTTAGAATGTGTTTGCATTATAGAAATAATCTCGGAGGTACACAGATCCAGACTCATTGCAGCGAAGAAACTATCTGTTCTATATCGTGGAGCTCCGCCCCATAGGGGAGCTCTGCTCCTAGTGGTTTACCCTCTGCACTAAGGCAGCAACAGCCTGAAGCAAAATTATGCACACACCTGCAGCCAATGGGAGCACAGGTGTCCCTATAAGAGGGGACGCCTCCCCTCAATCAGCCTCCCATTATCTTCAGCGACTGGACGACTAGACTGAAGAAGCCAAGAAGAGAAGAAGACTCAGGAAGAAATCGCCGTCGATGAGCCAGCCATCGATGTTTTCTTTAATGAACACGCCAGGAGATTTTCCACCCCCAAAAGCCCTTTTCAGGGCTCAGTGCCGATGCTCCTCCATGGCATCTGCGGACCCCCACGACCTTTGTTTCGTGTGTTTGGGGCCGCAGCATGCCAAGGAAGGGACCGGCAATCCCCCTAATTGCGCCTCCTGCGCCCTCCTTCCTATGAAGGTGAGGAAGCAGCGTTGGGTGTTCTTTAGGGAGGATATCCCCCTAGAGGATGTACTGTCTCTTCTCGCCTCTGCTTCAGAGGCGTCGATGGACAGTGCTGACTCAGGGGATGACAAGGAGAGAGACGCAGAGATGGATGTTCCAATGGAACAATCCGACCCTCTGGCGCCAACCTTCAAGACCCCCTTCCCTATGGGGAGTGTGAGATCTGAAGGCTCCTTGTGCGATGACGACACGGGCTCTGTTACGTCAGCAGCCCTGACCTTCGCAGCGGCCTCTCTGCGTGCGGACTTTCCCGAACTCATTGAGAGAGCCGCCAATCGACTCGAGATAGCCCTGCTCCCCCCCCCCGTGGAGGTCGACATGATGGAGGGCGGCCCCTACTCTAGACCGAGGAAGGCAGCTGAGCCGATGGCTCCTTCTATGCCTTCCCTCTGAAAATATGTCGAGGGCTCGTGGGATACACCCCTGGCGGCACGTTCGCCGGCCAAAGTGTACACCCCATTCACGAGAGTGGCTGGACGTGAGTGGGCTGCTAAGGGAATCCCTAGGCTCGAGAGCGCCATGGCGGCGTATCTAGTGCCGGGTTCGAGTCCCTGGGCGGCCTCCAAGAAAGCCACCTTGCCAGCACAAAAGGACAGACTCACAGCACAGCTGGCTGAGAAGTCCTTTACGCTGGGAGCCCAGGCTGTGTCAGCGGCTAACAACATTGCCCTCCTCGCAGCCTCCCTATCCCGTCTAACAACGGGTAGGTCTGAGTTGACCAGCGAGGAGATTGAAGAGGCGTCCGGGATTTCTGGCGCTATTCTTCATTTGACACAGGCGTCAGCGATATGCGCAGGCCGGTCCATGGCCACCTCGGTGGTCATGGAACGTCACCTCTGGCTGTCAATGACAGCCATGAAGGAGACGGACAGAGCCTCGCTGCTAAACGCTCCCGTCTCTAGCGAGGGCCTCTTTGGGGTCGCCGTTAAGGAGGCGACGGAACGTTTTGGTAAGCTTGACGAAGAGAGAAAGCACCTGGCTAAACACCTGCCATTGGCAGGCAAGTTTAGCAGGGCCTCAACTAACCCGTCAACCTCTAACGCCCCCAGTAGAACTACAGGGAGGTGACGGGCCAGGCGACAGGCGCCTACCACCGACAGCAGGCGAGCGGGCTCGGCCCCTCCAGCGACGACGGTGGTGGCGACGATTCCGCCGGCGAGAGAGGTCGTCACAAAACCGTCCTGGCAACACCAGAAGGTCAGCCAGAAACGACTGCGTCAATGACGGGACGAGGGGGAGAGGACGGATGACGGCTCGGCGCTGGACGTGACAGAGCCCACTGTTCCCCCCCACCCTACTGTTCAGGGCATGGAGGGAAATGTTTATTGTTGTTATATGAATAAAGAGCTGGCTCTCACTGACATTGTCACAAAAGAGCCTTTCTTCCATGACACATTGCAGAGTACTTCACGTCCTATGAATTTCTCTCACCATCCTGAGTGTAGCTCATCCCACCGAGGGTGCGTACTTGAACACACTCAGGAGAGGAAAGAGAAAAAGGTAGCAAGGCGTAGCCTTAGCTCACCTAATAAAGATATTTTACTACAGACTCCTAGGAGCTCTGTAGTAAAGGTCTCACATAGCAGGCAGCTGTCTCAGTCTAAATATGACATGAAGACGCAGCCGCTAGCTGGGAATGACGCCTTGCTTCAGGCTAACGCCTCAGCCAGCGCAGTTCAGACCCGTGCGACGTTCACGGAGGGCCGGAATACTAGAGTTACAGGTGTAACCAATGTCTGGGCGCCCCCGGTTAATTCAGAACGTAACAATGCCCACTACTCTGAGTGCAGCTCACCACACCTAGAGTGTGCTGTTGAGCAGCCTCATGAGACCAGTAAAAAAGAGGTATTGTGGCGCCACCTTGTGGTACCAGTTAGAGACCACACTTTCCAGACTCTGTTGAGTACTGCAGTGGACGGATCTCATGACAAGCAGCAGTCTCAGTCAGACAATGACATGATGACGCAATTGCTATCCGGGGAGGGCGCTCTGTCTCAGGTTAATACCTCAGTCAGGGCAGCTCAAAACCGTGCTGCGTTCACGGAGGGCCGGAATACTAGAGTTACAGACGTAACTGACGTATCAAGGCCTCCGATTCTCTCAGAACGAGCTGATGTTTCCTCTCCCTTTCGAGGGGGGCCCGCCTTGGGCTATTCCACCAACCCAGTGCTGGGGAATAGCGGCGGCGAGGGCCGTAGAGGAATACAGGTCCTTCCTACTGGATGCACCACAGCTTCGTGCGCGCCCGCTTTCTCTGCATTGCTGGCAGTGGCAACGAAGCTGTACCCTCTCACACTGGCTAGAACAGACGTTGCAGAAGGGTTATGCCCTCCAATTCCATCGAACCCCACCCCTGTTCAGGGGAGTGGTGGAGACGGTGAGGAAAACGCCGGACAAAGTGGCCGCTCTGATGTCAGAGATTACGGAACTTTTGGCGAAGGAGGCGGTCACAGTAGTTCCCCGGGAGCAAAGGAACAAAGGGCTATATTCGTCTTATTTCCTAGTGCCCAAAAAGACGGGGGGAGTGAGGCCGATTTTGGATTTACGCACTCTCAACGAGAGCATAACCAAACGACCCTTCCGAATGCTGACGACAAAACGTCTACTGGCATGTGTCCAGAAAGGAGACTTTTGTACAAGCATAGACCTAAAGGACGCGTACTTCAATGTGCCGATACAATCGCGTCACAGGAAGTTTCTGCGGTTCGCCTTTCAAGGGGTGGCGTACGAGTTCACGAGGATGCCATTCGGGTACGCCCTGGCACCTCGAACGTTTTCCAAATGTGTGGAGGCGGCATTGGAGCCGCTGCGTCGTCAAGGGATAAGGCTATTAGCCTACCTAGACGACCTGCTGGTTCTCGCCCCGTCAGCAGAGCTGGCGTTCACTCACACAACACAGACAGTGATTCATCTCACGCGTCTGGGGTTCGCTGTGAATTGGAAAAAGAGCGCACCCTGGCCCAGTCATCAGATTGTCTACCTGGGGCTACAGCTAGACACTGTAATGATGAGGGCTCGAATTTCGGACCCTCGAAGGGTAGCATTGTTGCTAGCCCTGAGGAAGTGTCGTCCGAATCACACAGTGACGGCGCTGTCGATCATGTCACTTTTGGGTCTCATGTCGTCAGCCCACTCTGTGGTCCCGCTGGGACTCCTGCACATGCGCAGAATACAGCGATGGTTCGCCCAACTAAGACTAGACCCAGTGCGTCAACGTCATCGGTTGG